TTTCGTGTTCGTCATACCTGGGTGAGTTCACAGTAAACACAACTCCTAGACCAAAAATGTCTGTTTTTTCAAATGAAATAAAAATTGCGTAAATAAAAAATAATTTATCGATCTTTTTGCCGGTACAAAGGAATTTGTAAGTCGTCACATCAGAAAGTTTGGTGGTGAAAGTAGCAGTTTATTTTAGTTGAGACATATTGATTAATTAACAATCTTTGATTTGGTCATCAAGTTAAGCGAATAAAGGAAGACGAGTTTTACTGACTAAAGCGACCCCTCCATCAAAATTCCTTCTTTTTCTTAACTGCGATATTATGAGATCATATGAACAAGGTGCTGACATACCGATCAGCAGGTAAGGGTGTCGCAAATTTGTGATTTTTCAACGAATATTTCCTGCTTGTGTCTTGTTCTATCTTTTTAATAAGGAAGGCAGTACATTCTTTACCACTTAATTCCCTGAACGAGCAGAAGTAGACATTATCGCAATCAGTGCTATGAATTGATATTTTCGGATTTATATTTAAGTGCAATTATACGTGATGAACGCGGCTTTGATAAACACGACTTGTAGCTCTAATACTAAATGCCAAAATGAAAATCTTTCCCGAAGTGTTAAGGAGTAGAGGTAAATCGATGAAAAAAAAAATCATAGTATGAGGTTTTCAATGCATTACACAAAAAAGATGTTTTGGTGTATAGACGATATTTTTTGATTTGTGGATGAAATATTGTTCAGTAAGAGACAATTTGAACTATATGGAATGTTAAAATCTTGCGCCATTAACATTTGAGACTAAAAAGAATTGAAATGAGGACATTGAAGTTTGCATTTTATTTTATCTAGAAGAAACCTTGGGTAAATAGAAGTGAAGTCTGAGATGTTAGCATTNGTTAAAATCTTGCGCCATTAACATTTGAGACTAAAAAGAATTGAAATGAGGACATTGAAGTTTGCATTTTATTTTATCTAGAAGAAACCTTGGGTAAATAGAAGTGAAGTCTGAGATATAGTATTGCGCCGATATTTGTTGACCATTTTTGTCAACATAGCTTGGTACATGAAGCCCTCTTTTCAGATAAACCCAGATAGTCCTTTGAACAAACTCGGGATACGATGCCATTTTTTGGTAGACGTTGTCTTTCGATCAAGTAAACAAACGTTGTTTTTTTTGGATAAGGAATCGTTGTGAAATTACTAAAACCGATGATAACAGAAAAAACATCCCTTATAATAAACTGCCTAGTTGGGATAGCCGACAAAGGTTTCCGCTTGTCCTCAGTCACGTTGATGAAGTTCTGTAGTAACACATTTTGTACGT